CTTTCCCTGGGTGGTTCAATGGGATCCTCCTGGGGTCGGAGGACGTACCAAATGCCTAGATTTTCCTCCTTTAAAATTGGGTGCGTCTTATATGCCGGAGCATCTTATATGGCAAAAAATACGATATTACTGCCATCATCTCCCAATAGTCACCATGATGGGTGTGTCAGGTTACTCCAACACAGGAACTAATTTGTTTTAAAAAAATCTATGTAGAGGGACAACTTAATTAAATTTATTTTCAAACAAATGTAATTGTCTTGAGTTGGAATTTCAACAGTAACTTAATACCAGAATTATCTGAGAGACAGCACTAACCTAATTAAATGAGAGAGAAGTAAAACATTTTACATTTACATTTCCCAACTGAGACGCTCCTGTATATGTGCTGTGATGGTGTAGTCTGGACATTACTAAGACATAGATAAAGATTATCTGTAGTTAATAGGTGACAGTTTGGAAATCTGTGACCCTCCAGAGCAGGGGTCGGCAACCTACGGCCCATGGACCGGGTGTTTCCCAACTGCTTCTTTACCCAAAACCTAGTTCTCCTGGATTTTCACAAGATCACTTCTTACTTTTTGTTTGTTTCTCATGGCTGAAGAATCACGGTGTAAGATTTAAAAAGGAGGAAGGCAAGAAGATGAAATTATATGAATTTCGGTGAGGTAGAGGAGTTTTCAAAAATTCATGCACCCCTTTCTTTCTCTCCCACAAGTATCACTAGGAAGTGCAGGTGGTACAGACTGCAATGGGTGACAGTTTAGAGAGGGATGAATACTCAGTAGCATGGTCACTCCCATCTGTCCCAAGACTCTCCTGGCCATGTCCCTCCACCAGTCATGGTGCCTTTGCTGGAATCAAGGAGCTGCCTTTTGGATCAGGCTGGCTAGGCAGGAAAGAGAGTTGCCTCCCTTTCCTTCTTGGCCAGATCTGGAAAGGGCTGCTGAACAGCAGCAGCACCCAGCCACACCATAGCACAGATGGCCTGGCTGGCAGAGGGGTAGCTGGGGGTGTGCCAGGCATCCTGGAGATGACAGCTTGAATGATGGCACTGGGGTGACACCAGCCTTAGTGATGCTACTATTCTCTCCCAAGCATAAAACAGGGACAAAACTTGAGACAAAACATAACCATTGGAGAAAGAGGCAGAGCCAGCTTGGCTAAATTCATAGCTGCCAAGTTACAGTACCTGTAAAGGGAGTTTGATGTAAATTATATGATTAATTAACTTGCAAGTTTTAAAATCGCTTCCAAACACATTACCATTTTAAAACAACAGCAGCAGTGGGCTTTTAGCCTCAGAGGTAGTGGGTAAAATCCTGAAGGGCTTTTTTTTTAGCTTCATTCTGGGAAGGCATTTGGTACAGGCATTTGACTCGAATAAATAAATAGAACATGAGGCTGAAGCAGAAGCTTCTTAATCAACCTACTATTTACAATCTCTGTTAGTAACCAGGTAATTAAAATTTGGTACCAATATTTTGTTAAAGATAAAAAAAATAGTTTGGGGCCTTTTAAGGACACACCTTGTTTGAGAAACAGGCTATGTAAATTTGTAAATTTCTCTGTGCACTGCAACCTGCCAAGCAACAACATAGGATGTTATTCATCACCATGCTGGTGTTTTCTGACGCTAAAAACTCAGTGGTGATTTTTAAATGGGTTATGTATATGCAAATAATTTCCAAACATGCAAATTAGCTAATTATATAATTTACATAAACACCCCTCACAGGCGCTGCAACTTGGCAGCTATGAATTAAGCTAAGCTGGCTCTGGCTCTTTCCCCAGCTGCTATTTTTCATCTGCTGTTTCCCTGTTTTTTTCTCATTTCAAACACGCTACTTATATACAGGGTTGCGTATTTGCAGTTAGTTAAGCCCTTTATCACCTACTCCTTTTTTTTCTTCAGAGAAAAACTTTCAACACCAAAGTTGAAAGGCTTCTTCTGAAATGAGAGGTTTCACATGAAAGCAATGCCTTGTTCCTATTTGAAGCCCCAATGCACCTTTCCTCCCTGGATCCGTGCCGTTGATCTGATTGAACAGCCTCTAGATCAAAGGCACCTGGGTAAATGTGCAGTCAAGGTGGCAGCATGCAGAATGGGTTGCTGATAAGAAAGCCATTTAAATAATTGCACAAGAATTTCTTGGGCAACATGATTAATGGTTATGGAAATATGATGACCTGATAGGAAATGGGAGCATGATATGATTGATGGAGCAAGCTTTACCGGTCCAGACTTACCAACCATGTGCACGGAAAGTCATAATGATTTGCTCAAGAACTTTACTTTTTCATACCTTCCTAGGAGAAGCTGAATGACAAAATATATGGCATGTTATAGAATCATAGAGTTAAAAGAGATCACAATGGTCATGCAGTCCAACCCTCAGCCATGCAGGAACACATAACCAAAGCCATAACATCTGTCGCATATTATTATTATTATTATTATTATTATTATTATTATTATTATTATTATTATTATTATTATTATCCCACCCCTCTGCATAACGCAACCGGGGTGGCTTACAAAATCAAAAATACACTACATATCCAACAATCCCATTCACCCCTTAAAATACCATTAAACAATGAACAATTTAAAACACACTTAAAATAAAATACAAATAAACAAATAACAATAACTGCAGCAGAGTCAGGGGAGCAGGTAGGGCTGTCTCTTGATGGCTGGGATATCTATTCAGGAAAAGCCTGTGGGAAGAGATCCGTTTTAACAGCCTTTTTAAATTACATTACATCTTATCTGGGAAACAAGAGGCTACAATAAATGCAAATTTCTCTGTGCATTGCAACAATTTGAAGGACTGTATTTCCCTATACAAGCCAGCCCAAGTGTTAAGATCAGCAGGAGAGGGCTTTCTCTCAGTCCCACCACATTTGCAGGAACAGTTTGCGAGGACACGAGAGACAGCCTTCTCCGTAGCTGCTGCCAAACTATGGAGTTCCCTTCCATGGGCGAGACCTCCTGGCTCTCTTTTCACTGGCAAAAGAAGACAATCCTATTTAGGCGTGAATTTTACTTATGTAGTGTGGTATGCCAGCATAGCGTAGTGTTTTACGCTATGCTGAGCATCAGACTATGACTCTGGAGACCAGGGTTCTATTCCCCCTCAGCCATGAAACCCACTGGGTGACCTTGGGCAAGTCGCATGCTCTCAGCCTCAGGGGAAGGCAATGGCAACCTCCTCTGAACAAATCTTGCCAAGAAAACCCCATGTGTCAGATCCATATGCATGATTCTGTCATGATGATATGATATGATGTAATGAGGATATGATGGCATGATGACGTGGTGATATAACGTTATGATAGATGCTAGTTTATGAAGAGGGGAATTGGAATTCTGTGGGAAGTCAAGCTTGGGAAACAACAGGAGGTGGCAAGTGGCCACAGGCAAGAGAGATTTGTGGTTTTATGACCCTGTTGTTCCTACAAGTGGATCGGGACTGTAAACCAGGGATGCTCTCCTTCCTTAAATGCAATTGAATGATAATGCAGGAAAGGAAAGGGGAAACATGAATGGTCATTTTGATCCTGATCAAAGGCCTGGGATCATAGCCGGGAAGTGGAGCTGGATGATGTGAACTTTTAAATATGATCCGGGGGGAAACTTTTCAGTTGCGACACAAACCCTGGACAGAGGAACTTCTGTCTCAATTTCTGGAATAAAATATTTTGTTTTAATCACACTAAGATGTTCCCTTGGTTATTGGGAACTGAGTCCACTGATCCTGACACCATGATAGGTTTGCCTTAGGATTGTGATAAGTCAAAAATGACATGGAGGCACACAACAACAACAACAACAACAACAACAAAGTGTGGTGTGCTGTTTTAATGCTTTAAATTTGTTACCTTTTAAAATGGTTTTAACTATGCTGTGTTTTTAACTTATGTTTTAACGTTGGTATTATTTAATTATTGTTTTAATTTTTGTAATTAATGATTTTGTTTTATTCTTTGCCAATTATTGTAAGCTACCTTGTATTTTGGAGGAAAGGGTATAAATCCAACAAACGAACAAACAAACATTATACAGTACATTAAATGAGAGCTTATATTTTCCTCCGAAGTCCTTCATTATTAAGGCAAAATGGCCTGTTACAGAATCATAGGATTGCCACCAAAAATATTGAGGGTTTGGTCATATAAACCAGTGTCCATGGACCAATGGCAATCTGCAAGATAATGGCTTCTGGTCCATGGTAACTTTTTAGCAAAGAAAGAAACTTTTTAGGAAAGAAAGAACTTTCCTAACTTTTTAGGAAAGAAAGAAATATTAGTGGGCACTAATATAATGCTGGTCCTTGGCACATTGGGAGGGAAACCCTGCTAGTCATCCACAAAAGAGGGCTTAAGAAGCTCTGGTGTAAATAATAAGGTAACAATAATCTCAGTTTGCACTGCTTTGACTCTTTATGCTTCCCTGTCCCCACCAGCCATGGCCAATAATGTGGAGTTGGGGGGGGGGGGCAAATGTGCAACATGATTATATTACAAGATGGTTAATTGTTTTGGTGAGAGACAGCATGGTGTAGTGGTTTAAGTATTAGACTACAGTTCTGGAGATCAGGGTTTGAATTCCTGTTTGGACATGGAAACCCACTAGGTGAGTTTGGGCAAATCACATTCTCTCAGCCTCAGAGGAAGGCAAAGGCATACCCCCTCTGAACTAATCTTGCTCAGAAACCCCTGTGATTAGGGTTGCCTTAGTCAGCAATGCCATAAATCAGCAATGACTTGAAGACTAAGCTGCTTCAGAGACTAGGACCCGGAACAATGAGTGCAAGCTCCAGGAAAAGAGATTCCACCTCAACATTAGGAGGAACTTCCTGACAGTAAGGGCTGTTCGACAGTGGAACACACTCACTCGGAGTCTCCTTCCTTGGAGGTCTTTAAGCAGAGGCTGGATGGCCATCTGTCGGGGATGCTTCGATTGGGAGTTCCTGCATGGCGGGGGGGTTGGACTGGAAGGCCCTTATGGTCTCTTCCAACTCTATAATTCTATGATTCTATGATTCTATGGTGTTGCAGTGCCAATCTTGTGAATGATATGATAGATCAGCCCTGTAATTCCTGTATTACTGTCCTCAGGTGATGACAGACATAGGATTTTAAGAGCATTCATAAAAATTAAAGCTGCAAAATTGTCCTTGAGGAGTGGGATTCCTGTGTTGTGGAGACGTCCCTTTTTTTATATATATAATATACCAAACCAATTGTTGTGTTGTTGTGTGTTTTTATGGAATAATAGCCTTGGAAGAGACCACAAGGGCCATCCAGTCCAACTCCCTGCCATGCAGGAATACACCATCAAAGCACTCCCAGCAGATGGCTATCCAACCTCTTGTTTAAAATCCTCCCAAGAAGGAGACTCCACCATCTCCAAGGCAGCATGTTTCACTGTCAAACAGCTCTCACCATCAAGAAGCTCTTCTTAATGTTGAGGTAGAATCTCTTTTCCTGTAGCTTGCATCCATTGTTTTTGGGTCTTATTCTGTGGAGCTGCAGAAAACAAACTTGCTCCATCCTGAATATGACATCTTTTCAAATATTTAAACAGAGCTATCATATCACCTCTCAGCCTTCTCTTC